TCCTTCTGTTTGGCGGTTTTCCCGCTAATTCATTATCATTATCTTTTTTCTTTATACTTCATTGTCTGTTTTCCTCTCTTTCTTCGAATTCTTTGCTTCATCGTATATTTTCCTCTCTCTCCTGTTTTTTTTTTCAGGTTTTTCCTCGTATTTTTTTCCTTCATCATATACTTTCCTCTTTCCCCACGTATTTTTTTTCCCTTCACAGATTTTCCTTTTTTCCTCATATATCCATTCCCCTCTTCTCGCAGGACTCACCCCAGGCAAGCACGGCTTCCACATCCACGCCTTCGGGGTCTCGGGCACCGACTGCAAGGCCGCCGGCGGGCACTACAACCCCTTCCAGAGCAACCACTCCGCGCCCAACGCCACCGAACGCCACGTCGGGGACCTCGGCAACATCCTCGCCGGGGAAGACTCCGTTGCCTACGTTGATGTGAGTCCTTGGGAGGGAGGGAGGGAGAGAGAGAGAGCGAGGAGAGAGAGAGAGAGAGAGAAAGAAAGAAGGAGAGAGAGAGAGAAAAGGTTAGAGAGGGAGAAGGAGAGAGAGAGAGAGAGAAAAGAAAGAGGAAAAAAAGTGTCCCTGTCTTCAGTAGTTATGGGTGTGTGCATGTGACGTCATTAGAAACGCCCCTTTTTTACGCAACAATATGTACAAAGATTTAGGGTAAATGTTAGTTCAGTGCATTTCTTTGTAAATGGTTCAGTAATGACAATGATAAAAAATATCGAAGAGGAAACCAAGAAAAAAAAAAAGAAAGAGAGAGAGAGAAGCGAGAGAGAGAGAGAAAAGAAAGAGGAAAAAAAGTGTCCCTGTCTTCAGTAGTTATGGGTGTGTGCATGTGACGTCATTAGAAACGCCCCTTTTTTACGCAACAATATGTACAAAGATTTAGGGTAAATGTTAGTTCAGTGCATTTCTTTGTAAATGGTTCAGTAATGACAATGATAAAAAATATCGAAGAGGAAACCAAGAAAAAAAAAAAAAAACTTAGGCTACTAACAATAACATGATTCATTCTTTCGTCATGTACCTTGTCCTTTGTGAAGTATGTCCTAAATTTTACGTAGGCAAAACTCATAAAAAAATAGTAAACATTAAAGTAAACATTATTCCTTTTAGGTATACTCGTTCCACTCACGTACGAGATGAAGACTATCAAACTAAAAAAAAAAAATCTAGTCTTTGGATTCTGAAAGGTATATGCGATGATTCCTTTCAGTCAAGAAATGTTCATTTTAACTTGGTATGAATTCGGATGACAGTCTTCTCGGGCCTGATTCGGTTCTTGTTCTCAGGGCCTTCGTCTACTCTTGTCTAATTTATTTTGTCTGTCTGGGAAGAAAACGTCGCGGTTCCAATGGTGGCAGTTTAATTTCATACAATCATAGAATTATGTATATATGTATGTACACACACGCAAACTGTGCATATATACATGCGCACATACACACATACATGCATAAATGTTAAGCAGTTGTGATCGAAGCGCTTACTTAACAACACAGAAAGACCAAACTTTGACACCAGAAATCTATACACTGTAATTTCTGCTTTACATTAACAAATTTATCGAATGGATACTATAGTGACTTGAATTCTTTTAGAAACTAACAATTAAGAGAAAACAGATGTTATTCTTGTAGAAATGGATGTTTGAGACAAATATTTATCCTTCAGCAAATGTGTATATATATATATATTGCATGGAAATCATTTTCCCAAAAATGTATAGGGATATGGTGGATTTAGTTAAGAGCTTCCTGTTAATCACCCAAAATCTGAGTGAAATTTCTTATTTTCATTTATGTAAATATTGGTTGTGATGCATTATAACCAAAAAATCTTTAGCGTACAAATCGTGTCCGTGTGTGTATGCGTACATGATTTCAAGGATATTATAATGTGTACGTATCCCTATACATTTTTATTTAGTTATAAATCACCCTCAGATCTTTCTCTCCATTCTGGTTTATATATTTTTCACAAGAGAAACATTCCATTATGTTAAGTGACTTCTAATTTATACGAAATAAAGAGAAATGCACTTATGATGTGATTTTATTGTCCGTAAAAATTTCAGTATTTTTTTCCCGTATTTTTTTTGTAATAATTTTTTCTCCATTTTTTCTTGAACTATTTTTGAATTCGATTATCATTGGTATTTTCTACTTACTGATTATTGGGAAAATAAATATATTCAAATACGAAATACAACATAAATATAGGTAAAATCCAATATGAAGGTGGATATCCTCCAGTATATGTACTGTATATTCATGAAATATAATTAATCCAATACAGAAAAATAAACTTTGATGCCATTATTAATACATGTAAAAATACACGCAAAATCGCTATAGTAACAAAATCAACAAAACCTGAATTTCACACGTCACGAATCACACGAGACGAGTGAACGTAACTAAAATCAGTCGAAACTTTGAGATTTGACTCACCGAAGCCCCTGGGAGTCGACTGAACCAGAAGGAAGGAGAA